TCTTTTGTGTGATTTTTCTGGAGACACTTCATCCTGAATAGAGGTGCCTAATGATCTGCCAAATTAAGACAGCAAGTTGTTTCTAAGTTTGGTGGACTCATTGCCATCGTGTTTCATCCAAAGGTTTATTATTGCCAAATGCCACTGTTCGTCCAAAAGGAAAAATTCAAAGTCTCCTTCCCTGGCAATCTCCATTTATATTGCTTCAAGCATGAGGTTAGAAATTTTCTTCTAAGACCTCCATCTTCAGCCAGGAAATATGTGATTGAGACTTCAGTTGAGAGCTAGTTCTTCTACTAGCTGGAACTAGGCTGGCTTTGAACCAGCAGTAACCTACCTGTTGGGGATGTCTGTTCCAAGTAGCAAAGTGGCTGCTATTACAGAGGCAGGAATTAGAAAGTGTCTAAATTATGTATACTTGCTCTATTTTTTTGCCACACTCTTCCTTCACTATAGATACACAGTATTTGTATCCACCTAAAAACACATAACAGAGCTACTAATTCTCTGGGATTGATATACGTCAGTCTAGAATTAAGGAACTAAAGCACCTGGTTTTATTATTTGGCATTTAAATTCCCTTCTGAAGCACAAAACACATTAGTACCCTGACACAGATACCTTGTCAAAGGCCCAATGTGGTCCCAGTGAATATGGAGAGGAGCTAAGCCTCAGAGGGTTTGGTAACCCCCCGAAGGTGTCTGGCAAAACTGTATGTATACATCTGTAGGTTTGTATATGTTCATCTGAACGTTTCCATGGTTCCGTGAAACAAGACCTAAGTAAGGCTTGTATTTTCATTACTACCAATATACTTTTTAAGGAATAGTTTAAGTTACTGGAGGAAATACAGGAGGAACCAAGAAACAGGCTACCACTCCCACACATGAGAACGTTGTACAGAGCTCTAGTCTCTTGCTGCCTATTTCCTGTGTGGGAGTTTAAAGCCAAAAAACAAAAACAGTGGCCATAGATTGAGGAAGCAGGACTTGCAAAAAGGAGCTTGCCAGGTCCCCACACGTTGCGGTTAGGGGTTGGCTGTGGATTTTTCAAGTGGTGGGGATGGAGAGTGTGAGATTGCATTTTCCTTTATCAAAGGAGCAAAGCGACAAGAGCTTGAGCATTCTGGCTTTTTTATTGCAACAAAGCAAAGATTAACTTACAACTGCTGTCTATGCTCCGGTGCCCAAATCTCTCTTAACAGCCACTTTCTGGAAAATGCAGGGAAGACTCTGGGGATGCTGCAAGCATGACCTAAGTGCCCGCCTTTGGCTGGCTGGCTGGCTCCCAGCCAAGACAGCGCTGAGTTGCGGCAAGTTCTAGGGTGTATCAGGTGTGGTTTCGTGGAGGTGGAAGGAGCTTCTCTTCACAGCATTAGGTCTAGCTAGCGCCGCGCTGCAAACTTCCAAGCCTGCGCCTCTCAATTCCCTGCATCAGCCAAACCTTTCTCGCGTAGGCAAAGTCTCTTTGAGAGGCGACTTTTCGCTGGTCTCTCCACAGCTCACCGCCACGGTCAGGCTTTGCGTCTGAGCACAGGCTTCACTCCGTTATCCTCTACCTCCTCAGCTTCTGCTTGAGGTCCACCGCGTGGAGCACACTAACTTGCAGTCTCAACTGCTCGGCCAAACAAAAGCTTATTTCGACCCAAATAACCTTTGCTGCAGTCTACTTCCCCATCTCGATCTGTTCCAGCTCGCTCCCTCCTTGCCCTCTGGCTGAGTCTGTGTGGGTTGTTTCCCACTAACTTGGAGGGAACATCCTCCCTGCGCTGCTGGGGACTGCAGAGTGGGCACGTGGATTGTGCCTAAGGGCCCCTCCTCTATGGGGGAGGCCCAAGCAGAGGGGACTTTAAAAGTTTCCTGCTCTCCTGAGTGTTCCACACACACGTACCCCTGTGTGTTTTATATGTTTTGAAGTACTAAAGGAGTGAGTGAAAAGAGGGAACCAAGATAACGAAATGGCATTCTCCACTAAACTCTGCCTCATTCCCCTCTGTATGATGGCTTGGTGTGTCCACGCAATTCTTAACCAAAGCCTAGAAAAATCAAACTCCGCCCACAGGTGGCAGATTCCACCAAGGGTTCTGGACTCCGAGAAACAGTGAACGAGTGGCTGGGAGAAAGCCACAGGTTCCTTACGTCGCTAAATCCAAACCCTAGAAGGAGCAAGTGGTTTTCTCCTTTGCACGCTCCTGGAGAAGAAATTTAAACAGGAAAGGCTGCCTGCAGCTTGGTAAAATTCCTCTCCGCCTTCCTCCGCTTCGCATCCTTCCAACAGTTCTCCTAATCTTGCTGCTCCCTTAAGATAGCAGGAAAATAGTTTGCCGGCACACCCCCCAAACGGCAACCACACACACTTTGCTCCATCCTGGCCAACGCCCCCACCTAGTGGTTTAGGCTTGCCTGCTTTGCTTTCCTCAGCTGTGATTTCTAAGAGAGTGCTGCAGTTTGGGGGGGGGGGGGGAAGAAGTCTATTTAGGCGCCTGTTGTGGGTGGGTAGGATGGGAGGATGGGTAGGACCCCTTAACGTGCTGTGCAAATGAGGCTTAAGGTTAGCAGAAGCAATGCTGGGTGCTAGGGACAGGAGAAGAGGAAAGAGAAGGTTTTCTTTTATCTCCACCTTGGCTCCTGCAACCCAGACAGCTTCCAGAGGGTATTTTTGGAGAGCTGCTGCCTAAAGGAGTACCCTCACTCTCAATGCAGGAATGTACTATTTTCTTCATAATACTTACCGCAATATGAAAGTATGTTAATCATTTGCTTGTTTGTGTGGCTATTGTCTATCTGCCTTTTCTAGAATATAGGCTATTTGAAAACTGGGTCTGGGTATACCCCATCATACCCCTGGTGCCTAGAATTCCTAGCACAGGGTAAGCACTCTATTTTTGCCTGTTTTAGGGAATATGAAGTTAAGAGAACTTGGGTCAGTGTTGTGTCACCTTGGGTAAAAAGTTCTTCTTTCAAAGACTCTTAATTCTTTTTCTAAACTCAATGGTGGATGAAATAATCTTGGGCTCTAGACTGAATAATTCTCTCTAAAATATGCTTACACTTAACCTGGTAAATTCACTTATGATGTTGTGTTCATTGAATGCATTATACCCACTAAACACCGAGCTAGGTGCTAGAAACTCCTAGTTGGGATCACTTAGCTCTGAGGGCTGAAAGTACATTGCTCTTTCCTGGTGCTTTTCTGTAAACTTTCACAGACTGGTAGTTGTACCATACATTTGTTTCGGTTACAGCTGGAGGGGGGAACTGAGCAGCCAGGAACTGCTGAAGGTCATGGGACCTGGGAACTGGTATTGCTTGGTGCCACATTTGGCTGATACCCTGATGTATTTGTTGAGGGCAAAGAAGACACACTGGTGCTGATGGCCCCAAAACACGTTTTTTTTTCCTTTTTCTTTCTTTCTTTCTTTCTTTCTTTCTTTCTTTCTTTCTTTTTTTTTTTTTTTTTCCTTTTGAATTTTGTTGACCTCCTTTCTTGAGGGCTGTGGGAGGGAAGGTGCTTACTGTGAACTGTTTTCCAGAGGCATTGAACTGCTGAGCGGCTGGCTGGAGAGGGAGAGAGGAATGGAAGGTTTAATTTCACAAATGGTAGGCTTCTGTTTGTGATAGTTTTACATGTTTGTAGACAGTGTAGACAGCTTTCTTTCCGCTTGTTGACCCACAGTTAAAGGGAAGGGACTGAATGGAAAGCACAGATTCCTAAAACCAGATATGAAATTAATAGTGCCTATTGTACCAAGAGTTAAGTAGGACTTGAAGCCTGAAGTTTAAAATGCACTATTGGCCATTTCCTTCTAAGGCGATATTACTGGCGCCTCCTTCTAACCTGGGTGTGGTCCGCAGGGCTGGATAAAATTCCTGAGTGGAGAGGTCAGAGCCTGGGGCTGGCTCCACCTAGCACTGGCCTGCTGTGGTGTGGGTGCTTAAGTGGAAGCCCAGGAAGGGACGCAGGGAATGTGCCCGGGCTGAGGGCGTGGATCTAACTGGAGGGCCACACTGCAAGCTTCGAAGGGGACAGAGGCAAGGACAGGACGCCCTCATCCCCATTCCTGGCCAGAACTGCGGAGTCTGGGTGTCAGGATTGGGAGAGGGGCCAGAAGATGGGTAGTGGGGAGAAAGGGCGGTAGGACCCGGAGGGAAGCTTCCTTACCAGGGGAGGGAACCAGGCAGGAGGAAAGGAGGGGCGGGGGAGAGAGAAAAGGGGAAGGTGATGGGGAGCGGGCGCCCGCACTCGCCGAGCAGCAAGAGTTGCAAGGCTAGGGCAGCCCGGACCTGGACTCTATAAAAGGAGTCCATCTGCTGTGCCGCTCACACGCTCCTCCGGGACTGGCGCACGCTGCGTTCCTCCAGCTCCCTAAGACACCTGCCCCTTACCCGCGTGCCGCGCCAGGTCCCCCAGACCCGTGCACCCAGCAGCATGGCTCCAAGCGGTGCCAGTGGGTCCGAGGTGATGGTGGCAGTGGCGGCGCGTTGCGGGCAGCCGCAGCCCCAGCCCCAGCCCCCGAGTCCCCCTTCTTGCGGCCCCGTCTCCGCGGGGCAGCTCGCCGGAGTGGCCAGCGCGTGAAAAGAAGGGAGGGCAGAGCTCCGGAGCGAGGCGCGGCGCAGCGCGGCTCCCAGACTTCACCCCACCCAGCTCTGGCGGCCAAAGCAGCCGCAGGAAACTGCCCGAGTCTGGGGAGGGGGCGGGAATGCAAGACCAGGACTCCTGGCTGGCCTGCCAGCTTCGGTCTCAACAGCCAGGAAACTCTTGCGGGCCGATTCTGCAGATCAAGGAGCGCCTGGGTTAGGAGACTCAGCCCGGAGCAACTGGGGTAAGAGACCCCACCTGGCTGATGCTCCCTTCTCAAACAATACATCACCCTCCGCTACTAGACGCCTTGAGTAGGATCCGGAGTGGAGCTGGGCTTGGTGGGCCAGTCCTTAGCAACCCAGGGCTAAGACGGGGAGTGGAGAGGAGCAGGCAGAGCCGCGGCGGCAGCGCCCGGCGCACTGGAAGTGCAGAAGACGCGCTCGTCTGCCTAGGCTGCCGCGCCCTTGACCTCTAGTTTCAGCTGGGAATCCGGGTGGAGGAATAATTGAGAATCCCACGGCACTGACTAGCAATCGAGAGACAAGACTGTGGTCTCCTCCGCGGTCCTTCCGCCCTTTCCCTCGTTCGCTCCATGCCCAAGAGCTGCGCTCCAGAGCCGTGTAGAGGAGAGACATGGAAGAAACCAACACTCATTGCGCCCCACCGCCGCCCGCGGGCTCCCAGACCGGGGTTTCTCAAGCCAACCTCTCCTCCGCTCCCCCCAATTGCAGCACCGAGGGCTATATTTACCAGGACTCCATCGCCCTGCCCTGGAAAGTACTCCTGATCCTGGTGCTGGCGCTCTTCACCTTGGCCACCACGCTCTCCAATGCTTTTGTGATTGCCACTGTGTACCGGACCCGGAAGCTGCACACCCCAGCCAACTACCTGATCGCCTCCCTGGCGGTAACCGACCTGCTCGTATCCATCCTGGTGATGCCCATCAGCACCATGTACACGGTCACCGGCCGCTGGACGCTGGGCCAGGTGGTCTGCGACTTCTGGCTGTCGTCGGACATCACCTGTTGCACAGCTTCCATCCTGCACCTCTGTGTCATCGCCCTGGACCGCTACTGGGCCATCACGGACGCTGTGGAGTACTCCGCTAAAAGGACTCCCAAGAGGGCGGCGGTCATGATCGCGCTGGTGTGGGTCTTCTCCATCTCCATCTCGCTGCCGCCCTTCTTCTGGCGTCAAGCCAAAGCCGAGGAGGAGGTGTCGGACTGCAGGGTGAACACCGACCACATGCTCTACACAGTTTACTCCACGGTGGGCGCTTTCTACTTCCCCACCCTGCTCCTCATCGCCCTCTACGGCCGCATCTATGTGGAAGCCCGCTCCCGGATTTTGAAACAGACGCCCAACAGGACCGGCAAGCGCCTGACCCGAGCCCAGCTGATAACCGACTCCCCCGGGTCCACGTCCTCGGTCACCTCCGTTAACTCCCGGGCTCCTGATGTGCCCAGCGAATCCGGGTCCCCTGTGTACGTGAACCAAGTCAAAGTGCGAGTCTCTGACGCCCTGCTAGAGAAGAAGAAGCTCATGGCCGCTAGGGAGCGCAAAGCCACTAAGACCCTGGGGATCATTTTGGGAGCCTTTATTGTGTGTTGGCTGCCCTTTTTCATCATCTCCCTGGTGATGCCTATTTGCAAGGATGCCTGCTGGTTCCACCTGGCCATCTTTGACTTCTTCACGTGGCTGGGCTATCTCAACTCCCTTATCAACCCCATCATCTATACCATGTCCAATGAGGACTTCAAACAAGCGTTCCATAAACTGATACGCTTTAAGTGCACAGGTTGACTTGTCAGTTGCAGTGGGGTAGCCTAAGCGGCCCTTGGGGACCATGTTGTGTCTGGTTCCACAGGTAGGTCCACTCTTCTTTCACTGTTACTGGGTCAGATTGAGGCTCTGTCTTCTGGGCAAGGGCAATGGATCCTGAGAAGCCAGGACAGCCCTGAGAGAGAGAGAGAGAGAGAGAGAGAGAGAGAGCGCGCGAGAGCGAGCAAGCGAGCGAGCTCTGAGAGGAGAACTGTTCAAACTAAAGGTAGAGCTTCCCTGCGGAGGAGGAAGCTCACTTCCTCCCCTCACACCCCAGGTCCAGCACTGACCCTGCAGCAGCCAATCATAAGGGAGGGTTGTAACTTTAAAAATCAATGATGGAAGGGGGATCTTTGCCCTGCTTTGGTATCATGGATCATGCCCTCCCTCTAGAACCGGTGGTACTTGTAGTTGTCTGAATCCTGTCTGAGACAGATCTACATACAGCCTGGCAGTACTTGAACTAGAAGCCTGATACCCTTTGTTTTGGGGAGAACTTTGTGTTTCAGCTTCATTTAAGAAGAGTTACTTTGGCATCTTTCAGTCTTCACTTTCTGTTTATTTAAACTTGGTTGGAGAAACTTGTGGATTTGGTGCTTCAAACCTTATGTGTGGCTTGGATGATGCAGAGAAACCTTGAAGAGTTTAACAGCAAAATTCTGATGTTAAGATCTCTATTTTTATTATAATTGAAACTATATGGGGTGGGTGGGGATGGGAGATGGGAAGGATTAAACTGAGAACCAACACCTATGGTTGTTTGTTTTCTGCAGATCTGTAATTTTTTTAATTCCTATTTAGTGATTGTCAAACCACACTAACAACTCAAACAAAGCATTACGTGTGCTAGTGCCAAAGTCTGCAGATTGCTTTATTTTCCTCCTAATTTCATGTACTTGTCATTTTACACATTTAAATCCTCATAAATGAAGAATACAATGGGTGATTCAGCCCAAGCTGCTGCTATATTTCTTATTAATGCAGTCGATTAAACTGATGGCTATTAGATATATACTGCTCCTCAACAAGAAAGGTATGTTTATTCCTTAACCAATCCAGTGAGATGTGAAGGAGACTGATAAAATAAAAATGGTTCTTCTACAATTAAGGAATGGGGGGGGGGCAATGGGAGGATGTATATTTTGACTTGTAAAAAATCTTAAATGCATGAGACTTTTTTCTGATAGTCATTTACATTCTCCTTCCCATCTGTAATTCCTTTGTGTGCCCATATATAAAGTAAGAGAACCACCTCCTTTTTCCAAAAATCTTCAAAATACAGTAAGAAAGAACCCAAAATCTATGTTAAAGGAAAAAAAAAAACCCAGAAACTTGTTTTCCCTTGTTACTGAAGTTTGGTTGGGAACAAAGATTACTAGAAAATGACATGCAAGGACTTTAGAAAAGCTTAGAGATGTTAACATGGAGCCTGTTTTTTCCTATAACTCATGGAACCAAACCTCAGATTTACTAGGCAATCAGGAAAATGACAAGCTTTTGAACCTTGGGAATTTGTCACCGACCTGATACCTCAATGAATATATTATCAGTAATACTTTATATTTATATGTCTTTTCAAATTTCAATAATGCTTAGTTGTGATACCAAATTCACTCTGAGGCCTCTCCAACACAGGGCAAGATTACACAACAAAAGATGAAAAATGCATTATCTAAATAAAAAGGAGTAGCCCTGAAGGATCATCTGCACAGAAAACAAAATATGTATGTGGAGCATTTTGTATGCCAAAGAAGATTTACACTCCATTCTTCAGAGAGCTCTCTGCAGTGTGATACCTTTTGTCTGCAGAAGCAAGTTGTCTTTGTAAAATGGATTCCCTCCCTGCTTGAAGCTCCCCAGTCCAGACTCTCAGACAATAGATGTATTGAGCTGAAGTACACTGCTTTCCTACTGTGCAGATCTTCACTCTGGGGTAATGACTCTTGAAAATACACTATTCAAAAGTTCACACATAAACTAAGTAAAAAAGGGGAATTTTGATCAACATTTATACCTGCCGTTGGAGTAAAATAAAATTTGAGGCATTGGATAATCCCTATGTTTCTGTTATATCCCCCAGGTTTTTGTTTGTTTGTTTTGTGACATTTCTCCTATGGAGAAATCTAGCTTACTATTGATTGGAATGTGCATACAGCACAGTATTTGTGTTTATGTTATTAATATGTTTGTCTTTTGTCTATGCAGCTGTGTTTTCTTTGGGCCTAAGAAACAATTAAGCCAACTTCTAGGAGCCTGAGGGGGAAAATTAATTGAAATAAATAAATAAATTGAAACTTGCAAATGAGTTCTTTCTAGGGAACCTACAATGATTGTGTCCTCATATTAACAAAACATGGTCAATTTAGTCACATGGGCTGTTTGCCATTTGTAGATTACCCACTTACAGTTTTGCTTCATTATTTGGCTGAATTGACTGAATTTGGGGCATATTGTGTGCAGTAGAAGCTTGCAAACCCTTGTAGTTATACAAGATCTAGACTCATCATCCAGCATCGCATATGATAATGCAAAGTGTATCATTCATCCCAGGGTTATGTAGTTAACGACTGTTACGCTCCTTCTCAGTTACTGCTGCCTATAGCATTGTTTGTTCATCAACTGGACATATGGATTTTTTGCAGAACATAAAATGGGAGATGGAAATGTTCAACTTGTATAGAAATGAAAATACGTCTTCATTGGCTGTGGTAACAAATAACATTTGCCATATTGTTTAATTGCACAAAGATTCACACAAATATATGAATGTATACTCATTCAAAAATACCAATGTTGTCTTGTGTTTCTAGCAATTTTAGAGTTTCCTTTAAAAAAATGGACATGGTACCCATGAATAATGGTTATTGAGTTCAACAAATTTCCTACAGAACAATATTCTTCACTTTTCCTATTATCTTAGTTTTATCTTCTTTAACCAGGAAACCCTGTGAGGACTATAATTCATGCAAGCAGTAAAATCTCAGATTATGTGTATTTGATGGAGTTGCTGTAACTAAAAATTGCCTTTGGTATTCCACCTTTCAACAAATGTGTAATTGGAAATGAAATTTCAGAGAATAATGAAATAAAGTCCTTTTCGTGCTCAAAAAAGGAATGGGTAGTGATTCTATTCTTTTGGAAGGATTGGTTCATTGGATTCTGGGGGACATTGAGGACTTTGAACCTTCAAGAGAGAATAATTGATGATAAATGATACTGTGGCAGACTGGCAAGTACAGCCACAATTTGGGGGATTTCGTTTGTAGAAGAATTTAAAAGGAATTAGGCAGATTGTGCTCTCATATTCTGCAAAAGAGGGTAAGTCAGATGCACTATCACTAGAATTTTCCAGATCCGTATTTTTAGGGGGAATGTTGTGTCTAGGTAGGTAGTGAGATGCCAAAGTACTGCATGGTGCTTGAAATGCAGGGGTATAAGCAAGCTTGGGGAAACGTAAGAGGTGGAGACTGAATTATATGAACACCAGAGAAGTAGACAGAAAAACAGCTTTTGGAATCAGAAAGTCCTAGGTTTGAATTGCAAATAGAGCATGGGATAGCTTTGTGGCTCTCCTCAAATGCAGCCTGCTTGCAATTGGTTGCAGGAACCTATGCATGTAAGGCACCTATCAAAATACCTGACACTTCTTTGGCTTCTCAGAACATGTACTTCCTCTTTAGCCATTATTTTCTTGCCTCCTGTAGCACCTGTAGCATAGAACAACTGAGAGCTCTTTGAGAAAGATTGAACTGGGGAGGATGAAGCTAGCCTGAATGGAAGAAACCTGGCTACACTGGAAATGACTGAGGTTAAGAGTCTTTCACACTTACCCACTTAGGCTGGTGAAAAATAACCCCAAGGGCTAAAGGACACACGAAAGATGGTTTGCAGTGGCTTTAATGGCCAAAAGGAAATTGCCAACTATTTCACTTCCTATAGCATCCTCTTACTCACTTTTAAACTCTTCTTCCTTTTCTTTGTCTAGCAATTTCCCCAGAGTCCAAAGACCCTCACCACATCTACATCTTTTCTCAGTGTTTCATTTTCCACTTTTCTGCTTTTTTCTTACCCACGAAAAGCCATGATAACCAGTGATAACGTGTTGATCTAATGTTCTTATTTTAGCTCCAGAGGGCTGATTAGGCAGCCCAGCGTTTTTATATATATAAAAAATTGTTGATTCAAATTAATATGTAATTAGTGGAGGCAAAAGCTTTTAACTGAGGCATTCACTGCAATTTTCAGAAGGAAAGAGGTTGGCAGGGTAAGTGGGTGGGAAGTGAACCTTCTGTGCCCTTCATCAAGGTTCATCCTTGAGCAGTCCACCAGGGGGCAGAGTGCCGCTGAGTTGTTTCCAGGATTCAGGTGCTCACCATACACACACAATCTCTAACTTCTTCTTGGACACTGCAAATGGTATTGACTTCTCTAGGCTCATAGAAATGAAGATCCATGAAGCAACGGAGAGGGGGCTTATCATTTATTTAAAATAGATTTTTGGGAACTGCAAATTCAGGCAGAGGATCCCTAAAACAAGCCTAAAATTTTTCTTCATATATGCAAAGTCAGTTATTTTCTTCTTCACCTCTAGTCCTGGGAAATGCTAAAATCTTAGTAGTTAAGACATTATGGCCATTGATGAACATGGCAATGGGTGAGTTCAGAGGTTAGAAGACAAAGAATTTATATTCAAATTAAAGAGAGCTAATTCTTGGGTATGTCTTTCGCCACTACGGTTTTTCTTATCACTGTGTTTTTCTTTTCAAAATTTATTGGTTTGAGGTTGATATATCCATAGTTCAGAGGTAGAACATTTGTCATTTATCATTTAAAGAGAGGGTTGTTTTTTGGCACAGAAGTTAAGGTGTACTTGTATGTCAGTTTTTCCCTGAGGACAGACTTTTAAGTCTGTGTAATTTTGGCATTTACTTTAAAAAGAGGCATAGATAAATGTGACTATCATCTTATGTATCACAAACATAAATTTCTGTGTCAGAGAAAGGATCATATAAAATGAGAAAACAGGTTACATTTTTGCCATTCCCCCTTCACTGTTGCTCCCAGCATTTTCATTATCCCCAGTGGGGAGTTTCCTATGCGCCATTTCACACATCTGTCAGTTAAATCTGACTTTCAAAGTCAACATCCACATTTTAGGATTATACTAGTGTTTTCAGTATTCCCTGAGAGAGAGCCAGTTCCTGGAGTTGAGTCAGCTGACACAGGCAAAGACTTAACACTATTCCCGGTGTAGTCTGTAAAAGAAAATGCCCATTTCTTTTGACTTATTAGTATATATTTCAAAAGATAAGAAAAAGCCTTTCCAAAACTACCAACTGCATATCTATGTAACAAAAATGTCTTTATAATATTTCCTGTATCTACAGTGAACAGATGGTGATATAGGGATCCATTTATGGTAAATGCTTAAATGAATCTACACACAGCTTGCTTCAATGATGCATGAAGGCATGACTCATATCCTCCCAGACTCTGTGGAAACATTCCACACATCAGCCTCTGATTGGTCATTCCATATTAGAGTAACTAGATTTCAGGATATCTCTTGCTCACAAGTGTGGTGATGGGACTGCAGTGATGGAAGAGTCCACAAAGGGTAGGTTACTTGGTGTGGGAGTTGTGCCCAGGGCACTTTTGCATACACATCTGGTTGTCTCTTCTAAGTTTATCTGCTAATCTGGTTTGTGATCATGTGTAGACTTGCAATGCTGACATCATTCATCAATCTACCCTTATTTCATTGAATAGTCTCAATGGGTTCAGCATTAGGCTGATGTGCTTTTGTGGGGAAACACTGTTTTGGCTCTTTATCTCGCCATCCCAGTATTGCCTGCCTGTAAGGTCCTTGAGTGCATTCTCTTTTCCCCTGCCCGTCAGAGGCTTTCCCACAGAGTGTAGCATGTTGGGCTAATCACACAGTGGGAAGTTTGCCATGAGGTTACTGGCATGAAGGCCCCTAGCATGTTGGTAGCAAGTCTTTGCAATAGCAAAATGCAATAGCAAGTCTTTGAAGTCAGAAAGACCTGAGTTTAAATCCATGTTTTGCAACCATGAACAAGTTCCTCTGTAAAGGTAATAATACATACCTTTATGTTTGCAGGGAAAAATTAAATGGAATAATGCAATTGTTTTCAACCTTGGCTTTACACTGGATTCATCAATGGACCTTTAAAAAAATCTTTGCTCAGACTCTACCTCAGACTAATTAAATTATATTACTTGGAGTAGGGTCTGAAATTCTTATTTTAAAAATTCTGTTTAGGTAATCACAATGTTTGGTTATGCTGTGATCCACTAAGAATATGCATATAAAGCTTTTGGAGCAATACTTGGCACACAGAGTACCTGTGGGTGTGAAAGGGGCCCCTGAATGAAATGGCAAGTCAAGTGGATTTGGTTTTCCGCAGTGGTACTTCTCAAAATTTAATGAACATATGAATCACCTGGGGAGTTGTTTAAACAGCAGATTGTGATTCAATATGTCTAGGTTGGGGCCTGAGATTCTGCATTCCTGACAGACTCTCAGGAGATGCTGATGATGATGTTCCATAGACCACTCTTTGAATAATAAGGATCTATAGGAAAACACAGCTTAGTTGTAAAGCATCAGTCATTTCCTATGAATATATACATATATATTGAATATATACATATGTATACATATATATGTATATGAATATATACATATATATTGAATATATACATATGTATACATATATATGTATATGAATATATACATATCAACCAAAACAAAAGCAACACAAAACTTCCAGAGGAAAAAAATATGCTTTTTACTGTACAATAGGTTGTGTTTTCCTGACTTGTTTACATAATATTCTTGTCTCAGCTATAGCAGCTGTTAAATGTTTCCCTGTACATGCTTTCTCCCAGATGCCATAAATCCTTTCAGTCTACCCTAAAACAGACAGTTTACTTCTTCTGGATTCAGTCTTTTGTTTTTATATCATTTCCAAATAAGGGCTTTGTATTTCATAAAAAAGAAAAAAAAAGAATTAATTAAAAATATGAAAGAAATGATCAAACAACAAATAAAACAAAGAAAAAACAATTATCGACGTAAGGTAAATGGCACAATTTCCATGGTAATCCTTTGTATTATACACATACACACACACACATTTACATAATATATAGGTTTTATTTTTTGTAAACATAGTAACTAATCAAAGGTGAAAGAGGTGGGCTTTCTATCTGTTGGACTTTATTCTTATTGTAGTCTAGAAACCTAATACCCTAGAGCAGCCTTTTGATTTCAGGGAAAGCCCCTCCCCACTTTGTATTCCCCAGATATTTCGTAAGGTTTGTTTTTTCTTCTTCAGTGAAAGTAATTTAAATTATTTATGAAAGATATTTATAATTTCTTGGCACTAGCCCATAAAAATGGAGAAATTAAGTTTCCTAAGCCTGGGTTGGAAATAAGAATCAAAAGCTCCTACTTCTGAAAGGATCCTGCCCTTTAGTTTTTGATGAGTTTTTACTTAAGTTAAATGAATGTGTGTATCAGTGTCGAAGTAGGTTTTTATTCTACATGACAAAACATAGTTCAAAGTCTTTTATCTCCTCTATGTAAAATCATGATACTTAGAGTTGGAGTCCAGCAAAGACGCATTGCTGGGGATTTGCTTCATTTTATTTATTTATTTGTGTTTCTTTGTTGTTGTTTACTTTTAAGGTTTATTTATTTTGAGAGAGAAAGTATGCCTCTGGGGGGGGGAAGGACCAGAGAGAGAGGGAGAGAATCGGAAGCAGGCTCTAGACTATGAGTGTGGAGCCCAACACGCGGCGGGGGACTCTCCATCCCTTCCACAAACATGAGATCATGTTTTAGCTGAGCTAAAATCAAGAGTTGGATGCTTAACTGACTGAGCCACCCAGATGCCCCAAGAATCTGCTTCATTCGAAAAGGGGCAAAGGTTGGGAAGGGAATTAGCATTACTGAGCTCTTGATGCCATATGCTTTAAATTACCACCCTCCCCTATTAGTCCTCATAATGCTATCAGAAAGTAGATATTATTGCTTTTTTATTATTATGCTATCATCATCATTGACATCATCATAAACAAAGTAT